AAATAGTATTCTAATTTTGGTAGGGACAACGAAATCAATGGGTAAGAGTAATTGGCACCCGTAAACTACTTCTGCTAGACTGCAGTCGGTTTCCGCTTTGACCGTGGTCTGTAAGCTCAGTAGGAGTAAAGGCAAATCGTCTGTCTATTCGTCCGGGTTTCTCTGGCATCTCAGACAGGCTTTTAGCTAAAGGTGGAAACTTTTTTTACCAAACTTTTAGCTTGTGGGTGGTGGGCGCACGTATACTTTTCTTTCCTAATAATTTAGATGACTGGACGGAAAAATCTGATTTGGAATGCCTGTCTCTATCGGTTGTGATGGTTGCTAGTGTGCAAAGCCCGGAAACCCAGTGATTGATATAAGCTTTTAGATACTCCTCCAAAAGATTCCCCATGCCTATACAGTTCGGAATGGGGCGACGGCAAAAATTTACTGTGCCGAGAAAACTTTGTAAAGTCTTGACCGTTTGACGAGGTTGATGAAATACTGGGAGACTGATGTGTGCATTACTGTGTGGTTAGATGCAGATTTGGCTATAGACTAGAATTTACTCAGCAGCTAATTCAAGGATGAATTGGCCATTTTAAACACCTGGCAGGAATAGTACAAGAGGACCGGCTTGGTATAGGTTCATTGATTGGATAATGCATCCACTAGTCTGCTATTGACTGCATCAGCGCAAAGTCGATGCTGAAGTCTATGTATATTTTTGGGTACCAAAAGTCTTAATTTTTGTCTTATTGGCAGCGGCCAAAGAGGATAGAGGATCTTGGTGTTTTCTGTCTATCTCTGAAGGAGGAATTAGCCTGATTCGGACGCCCGTGTCAATAATATATTTTATATTTGTTCTTTTGTCGTATACAAAAAAGGCGGGTGTCAGGTAATACTCCTGAACATGTTGTCGCCGAGACCTGTCGGGCTCTTAGTTTCCCGACCGCAATAGCTCTTGATGCTTTTTTGGTCATATCTCCAAGAGGGACGTTTACCGCGTCTATTGCAAGATTTTAGCGATCCTCTTCGGTAGAGGTGGTTTGGCTCGCTGGCTAGAAAAGCATGATGAAATACTATGGTAATGACTTGATGTTTAGACAGCTATTACAAGTTCGGCCATCAGGCGAATCTAGAATGCTCATTTCAAATATGGGATCGGCTTCGCTATACTGTATGGGATATCCCAATCTTGTATAGAGGGACAAGAAAAATTACAGATGAGGATTCGACACGAGAAAACAAAGAACGATGGTGGAGTGTGGTGTTGGTGAGATGGCAGCCTTCAGTCTCAGGGGGTAACAATGACGCAAAGAAAGCGCCGGGCAGAGTGTAACGGTCTAGGGAGATTCTGTCTTAAAATACTCTTGTATACTCTAATATCACATTCTGATTGGTTCAGCGGAGGCTCGATACGATCATTAAGTTTACTTAGTTCTCGCGGGACAGTCCTGATGAATTATTATCTGTTTGCTGTTGCATGAGTTGAGAGATAAGCGCGAGAGGTATAGCCAAACTGACTCTGGAGTAAATGCCACTACAATCTCGACTTCCCTACAACATAGAGTCTTCTCCTTTATTAATAAATGATCTGAAAATACTGATTCTGAGTTGAGGTAAATATAATTCCACTAACACAAGAAGTGAGTTTTATATCCAGCTAACCTATAACTTCTAGATGTGATATTTGGCTAATTTATTAGGGTTTCTACAAATCACCTACTAGAGCCATGCTTGATAAATTCGGCAAATAATTCTGAAGACTATTAATTAAATCTAGTATCTCGTTTGAGCCATCAGTTGTAGTGTTGCTTAAAGTTAGGATATGCAGTGTTGCTTGAAGTTAGGATATGCAGTGTCGGAGCTTAGGTTACCCACACACATCTCAGGACGTCTGTGTTTAAAAATAAATAAATGCAAAAAAGAGTTGTAAGTTCTCACCTAAGCCACTATTGCGAATGAACCGCAAGTAAAGAGCAGTGATAATATATGGTGGGTAAATCCATCTAAACGCTTGTAATAAACTTGGCGCAGTGGCAATAAAAGTAATTCCTAAAAAGAAAGGTGGAGAAGACTGCTTCGCATAGAAACCAACCGACACATGAACCAAGATTTGATGGATCAGATAGGTGTAAACGATCTAGCTGATATGATGTCAATTTAAAAGGTTTCACTAGCAGGTAGTCTCAAGATATCCTGAGACTAAATGAAGATAAATTTAGGTTGATAAAAGATGAGGAATTGGTAAAATCTCAGAGAATCGCATTACAAACCCTAAGACATTCAAATATGCTAGACATACAAAAGCAAACATTTCGAGAAATAAAAATAAATTTTAATAAAGCATTGACACTCCAAGCTTTAGTAGAATTAGAGTAAGTACACTGGTGGAACCCATTCATAAAACCTCAGCAGATGACTTAAATACCAAAGTCAGTTATTTAAAAAACTAGTTTCCGAACTAGTCTCACCAAAGGAATGCAAAGCAATTTTTCAAAAAATCAAGAAGAAGAAGGTAGAAACTTCAATTAGGTGTAAAGTATTTAAAAAGCAAATAAATTAAAACTTATAGTTAAAAACTTACTATGAAGATCCATTGAGCCTTTCCCAAGCCATTCTCTTATGCCTTTTCTTCCATCAACTTCAATATCATCCAGTAGTTCAAGTAAATTCCTCCATAAAGTCTGAAAACTCTGGCTTGATTTTTCTCCTAAAGCATCTATACTTTTTGCAACGCTAAACGCCTTCGAAAGTGCTAAAGTCTGAGCAAACATCGGATCTAAGGATTCAGATGAGTCACACAAGGCGCAAAAACAATCCAGGTATTCGAATCCAGAGGTGCTCGAATGATCCTGTTCTGAAGACAGGAGATCCTCAGAAATCAAGTAGGGGAGATTATCCACTGAAAATAATTAATAATTTAGACAAGCAAAGCGATAAGTGTTAATATTAAGTAAGCACTTACCAAGGTAAGATTCAATTAAAAGTCGGCATAAGGCTTCAGAGGCAAAAATGTTATCTGGTTCGTGTTCAAGCACATATAAACAAAGTTCTTTGAATGTAATAAAGTTGTCGACATGAGGAAGCTGGAAGCCGAAATAATAAGCACTCAAAGCATAATATATTGGAAAGAAAAGAAGAACGTATCCAAAAGGCATAAAATATAGACGCCATTTATCTATATTCACAAGGTAGACTTAATATATGAATCTAGCAAGGTAGTTAATGAAAAACATAATGATAATCTAATAATCAAATAAGAGAATAGGCTACACAAGCAAATGAGTATATCTGTATAGATATCACACTTACAGGGAGTCTAAAGTTCACGAGCAACTGAATCAAATATTTAGCACAGGCAAATTTCTTTGAGAAGGATTCTCTAAAATATAAGGCAAAAATTTATTGGAATTTCTACATTTTAAGGTGATGTAATAGCGATAAAGTTAATATACAATTTAGAGCATATACTCTAGTAAAATAGGGCCTTGGAGAATTTTTCAGATAAAAAATAAAGACAAAGGCATATTTGTATAAAAAGATATAAACAAAAATGCATCAATATAAACGACTGACTCTGAGTAGAGACTGAAGAGGACTATAGAACAACGAGCCGCAATTATGTGAAGCGGTTCAGGAAACGACTGACAGAATTTCATCATTCCCTAAATTAAAAAAATTGGCTTTATATCCATAAAGCATGAAAGATAAAAATTATGGTAGCAGATATTTCTTCAAGGGAAAAAAAATTGAGGTTTGATAATTTATTCATACTTAAGGCAGATACTTTGGGGATACAAATTATTACCCGTATTCATAAGTGGCTACAATTGAGGTATATATTGAGTCCACTAAAAACGAAGCCAATTTAAGTAAGGAAGCAATTGGGTAATTAAGGAAATAGTTTTAAGGTTGAGACATTTCAAAATATTAAGTACTGTATATCATTTTAATAGACTCTAAATAAGCAATTAAGGGAATGAAAGGCTAGCTAATTGACATAATTAAAATGAATGAAGAAAACGTGGAAAAGGTTTAAAATGCTACGCTGAACTTCAAGGAGTTTAGCAAGGCATCAAGGTAACAAGTTGGTGATTAAAGAATGAAAAATATAAAACTTGCTTGCCAGGCCAAAGGGTTTGTCGGATTAATGGAAATTGCTTTGTAGAACATATCGATGGAAGATAAATCATTAAGTGCCGATTTAGACGCAGCAGATAATACAAGAGCTTGATAATTGAGAGGATCTTTATTAAGAACATCCTTGAGTAATAAGCAAGATTAATTATTTACTTCAAGCAGCTCCAGACAATGAGAAAAGTCCCCAGCTTGAAAACATGCCTTAGACTCAGAAATAGCAGACTTAAGGCTTGAGCACATGTTAGATGGAGCCAAATGGCTGAGGAAAAACAAAGAGACAAGAATAAATAGAACTATATGAAGATGTACAATATATTTTATTAAAATCAATTATATAAGAGTAATTTTAAAAAATGTATCTATCTATTTTAGCTATTAATAACTTATAAATATAAGTAAAAAGAATAATTGATACAATTTAATAGAAGTTTGTTAGTTAAATATTGTTATAATTGCTATATCTAATGTAAATAAACTCCTAACTACATGCTGCGGCTTTGATTATAGGGTTATGGTATCGCTTTCACTTACTTTCTGACATCATTTTATAGGGATTATTAAGCCTTTTAAGAAAACTTAAGGCAAAACCTGATCAGGAGTTGCGAATACTGACCCTAGGTCTGGATAACGCAGGGAAAACTACTATCCTAAAATTCCTGGCTTCTGAGGATATTACGCAAATAACGCCTACCCAAGTAAAGCTTTTCATTTATATGTTAAAGGGCTTTAATATTAAAAGTGTTCAATCTCAGGGATTTAAGTTGAATGTATGGGATATTGGAGGTCAACGAAAAATTAGACCGTATTGGAAAAATTATTTTGAGAACACGGACGTTCTGGTATTGTGCTTACTTATATAATTGCAAAAGATATATGTCATTGACAGCTCTGATCGAAAAAGATTTGAAGAAACAGCTGAAGTAAGTTTTTATACTTATATAAAATATAAATATATTACTTTTTTTCTTGGAAAACCATTAAAATATTTGCTAAAGATGAAATAAATATAATCAGGCCGAAAGATATACAAAGATCACTTTCAAATATGGTGTTTTGAGCACCTTACTTTGCTTTTTTTTGACGTAAATCTGCATTTCTCTGGAATCTACTTTTGTATTTAATACAACCATTGTCACAGCCTTATTTATTAAGACTATTTACCTTGGCATAAATTATTCTTTTATAGATATTATATATTCGGCCACTAATGGCCATTTTCTTATGAAAATTTACTACTTATAGTCGTTAAACTCATTAAATGCTTCTTTTGATTAAAACACTTTTCATAAGTCTAATTCGCTTGCATCTCCAAATAAAATACAGATTTTCTTATCGAGCAATAAATATTCAATATTTATAACAAATTTCTTGATTTATCCTCCGTAGAATTTTGATTTAAGAGTTACGTAATATTAAAATTTATGTAAATTTTGACTAAAAACTTACTAATAATGATGGATAGATTGCCAACTGGCATACTAGGAAATATTTTTTGTTTATAAGTAGGACTTTGTGACTACCAGTAAATCAGTTATATGAGATGTATTGATCTTATTTCGTTTAAAGTTATGAAGGATTGGTAGTTAAATTTTTCTACAATTATATCAGTATGTCTGATACTTCCAGTGAATTTCACGTAGCCTTGCACTCCAAAAAGTTGTTCTTATTTATGGTAAATTGCAGTTTCGACTTCGTCTAAATATTGTTAATATCCCCAGCGGGTGTCGAATCATAAAAAGGGCGGCGTATGATCTCGACACGTTAATCACCACGCTACATTGTTACGAGTGCCCTTGGGTCACAGGGCAGAATTGAATTTCAGGGAAGGCCAGGCATTTTTCAAAATAACATTCTTTGGTGGAATTGTCAGTGAAGCAAAGTCATAATTACTATAAAAATTGACTACATTATTTATTCGAAGGTATGAAGACCAGGATGCTGTGGCCTTTTGTGTGGTTGCAGTCTCCTTTCGTTGTATAGAAGTTGTTTAACCTTGTTTTCGCAAATCGGTCATATTGGTGAGAAGACTTAGAGGAACGCACCGAGTCCGGAGTCCATTGTATGCATCATCATTTCCAGAGTAGGACTGTGGAAGGATCTAGGTATGGTTCTCACTTTAGATGATTTTCAAAATCTCCAGCGCATGACGGACCAGAAGTCACAGAGGATTAAGGATCTGATAAGCAACATGACAATAAATTGTTTAGCTATGGGATAATATGACAGAGCAAGACCAAGCCAACCCGGGCAAATTTGGATGGTTCTTTATTGAAGGCATAAACTGCTACAGACGATGATAGGACAAAGGTAGTAAACCTATCTTTAATCCGTCTGTCTTCTGAAACGACAGATCTACATTTTCCACTAGGTAAATAAGGTAAGGTTCTTAGTGGTATTCTGGTGGAAGTTGTTAACATAACGGATAAATATCAAAAGGAGACAAGGCGAGAGATGGAACTGGAAATAATCCCACGAATTCTGACACATCAAGAACCAATACACAGGAGTAAATTGGCTGGTATAAAAAAAATTACCAAAGAATGATCAAATAGTTCTTCAGGCAGATAAAGGAGGGACGATGGTTGTAATGGACAAGAAACAATAGACGGAGAAAATGGAAAGTACCCTTGATGAACGAAACACTTATCAAATACTAAGCAAGGATCCAACCACGAATATCAACGGGACACTGAAGGATATGG